TGCTTTTCATAAGGTTTTCAACGTCTGGTACTATACCTGCAAAGTTCTGCCACTAATCACAAGGTTTTCGGTGGTTAAGGACGCTGAAGAAGTCTGCCTCTCCTTCTTCCATGTCTGTCTTAGTCTGAAATCTCCGCTGAAACCTGTCCACTACAGGTGACCTTGCTAGTATTTAAAATACTGATGGCATAGCTTCCAGGATCACAGCAACATGCAAGCCACTATAGTACTACAAATTAAGAGATGAGTGGTGGCTCTATTAACATGGTAGTGGTAGTATGCCATGGAGTCAGTTCCAACTCATAGCAACGCTGCACAGGATTTCTGAGGCTGTAAATCCTTACGGGAGCAGAAAGCCTCATCTTTCTCCCATGGAATGGCTAGTAGTTTCAAACTGCTGACCTTGAGGTTAGCAGGCCGACTCATAACCACTATGTTACCAGAGTTCCTTCTGTGTTAATATACTAGAGAGAAAATAGTGAAAAGAATCAGGTACAGTTACTGCTCCTAAGGAGTTTAGCATATTACATATGCACAGTGTTGTATTATATTTTGTGGATGCAATCTCCCGGTGTGGTGCATAGGATAAGCACTGGACTGCGAACCAAAATGTCAGTGGTTCAAATCCACCAGCTGCTCCTTGGAAACCCTGAGGAGTTGGAATTGACTCAAGAGTGCTCAACAGCAATAACAATATCTTTAAATGACTGTAATCGTGGTAATAATAAGTAGGTAAGCAAGAATTTTCCTATTGCAAGTCTGCAGTAATTTGCATCAACACTGACATCCATGATAATTTTTTCCCCTTTATTCAAACATGGAAAACATTGCTCTCCAGAGTATATGTAATATTTCCTTCATTTTTTTTTTTTTTTTCACAAAAATCTTAACCCCTACTATTGTGACAGAAACTGGGCTAGATGCCTCAGGTACAAAGATGACAAAAACTGCTGTGATCTCCGCCCTCATGGACAATCTCCTGGTCAGAGGAGGTTTTTCTGAGGAGGTGACTTTAAAGGTGAGATCTTAACAATGAAAAGGAGGAAAATAGCTAGTTAAGCCTTTTTTTATAATAAAGGACAAAGAAAGGTAAATTGCATGTGGCTTTCCTCCAATCCCTACAGCCACCATTCCCTATACTGTCATCTCTCTTGAATGCAGACAATCTAGCACTTAGCAAATACTTACTGAAAAATTTCTTTCTATGTGCCTGCTATTGTGCTAAGTTCTCTAGGGTAAAAATGAAAACTCCAACTCAGTCTTAAAAGACATACAAAAAAAATTCAAACTCCACCACACAAATTTTCACATGCCTTTATTTTTTTCAAAGAAATTCACCTAATTCCCAAATGTGCATACATAAGTAACAAAAGAAATTTGTTTGTGTTCCAAGTTTTACAGACAAAGAACTTCATTTTTCTGCTCTGTCACTATCTATACTGCCAGTTCTCATAGGAATACACATGACTTTGTCATCAGGAAGACGTGGATTCAAATCTTGTCCTACCAGGACTAACCTTTATGAAGTTCTCCAAGCTTTATTCAGTTTGCTCACTGGTAAACTGGGGCGAACAATACTTCAGGTACCAAGATATTGACAGCATTAGGTAACATTACTGAAAGCAGAAGTAGATATGAGTAGTTCATACACTAGAGCCAGACAGATCTGGGTCCAAAATTATTTGTTGTTGTTGTTGTCAGGTGCTGAGTCTGTAGCGACCCTATGCACAGCAGAGCGAAACAATGTCCAATCCTGGGCCAACCTCACTACTGCTGCCACGCTTGAGTCCACTGATGCTGCCACTTGGCCAATCCATCTCATTGAGGGTCTTCCTCTTTTTCTCTGACCCTCCACCTTACCAAACATGATATCCTTCTCCAGTGACTGGTCCCTCCTAACAATATGTCCAAAGTATGAGAGACAAAATTTAGCCATCTCAGCCTCCAAGGAGCACTCTGGCTGCACTTCTTCCAAAACGGATCTGTTGGCTCTTTTGGCGGCCCATGCCACTTTCAATATTCTCCTCCAACACCGTAACTTAAAAGCGTCTTCCAAGTGCCACTAAATTGGTGGGTTCATAATTAAGACTCTGGAACTTAACAACAATGCTAATTATTGGCTAAAGGAGTCCTGGTGGTATATGGTTAAAGCACTCAATTGGTAACAAAAAAAAGTCTGCAGTTTGCTTTGCCAGATAAAGATGTAGCAGACTGCTTCCACAAAGACTAGACACTCTGTGGGGCAGTTCTATGGAGTCGGAATCTACTTGACAGGAATGAGTTTGGATTTTTGCTTTGTTTTGTTTTTTGCTTTATTCATTAGGTAAGGAGCCTTAGCGTCACAATGGTTAGGAGCTCACTGCAAAACCAAAGGACAGTGGTTCAAATCTACCTGGTGATCTGCTGATTATAGATTTCAACCTGGGAAATCCTGTAAGGTAATTCTACTGTGTCATATAGCGTCATGTGAGTAAAGGGTAAACAAAAAAGAGGAAGACTCCCAATGAGCTGGATTGACACAGTGGCTGCAACAATGGGCTCAAACAATTGTAAGAATGGTGTAGGACGTGGCAGTATTTCTTTTGTCCCTATGTCACAGTGACATAGGGTCACTGTGAGTGAGAACTGACTCCACAGCATCTAACAACAACAACGAGTTGGAATTGATACCATGTGACAATAATTATTAATTAGACGTCCCCGGATAACACAAAGCACTTGAGTACTAGTCAAAAGGTTGGCAGTTCAAACTCACCTAATGGCACCTAGAAACACAGGCCTGGCTACTTGCCTTCAGAAAGATTACATCGCTGAAAACACTACGGAGTAGCTCTATTCTACATACACACGGAATCACCATAATCAACTCAGCAACGGTAAAAAAAACAATTATTATCTTTGTGGTCCCAAGAGTTACTTAGCATTCTGAGTTCAGATAAATGTGCAAAATGAAGTCAAAGGAATTTTCAGGATTACATGAGATAATGCATCTGAACAATAACTAGTCCTTAACCTTCCTCCACATATAGCCCTAGTTCAACAAGGCCTTTTTCAAGTTTCCATCTAGTGCATAAGAAATGAAGCACCCGCTCACTCATTTCTTAATTCAACAAAATTTGCTCAGCATTTATGTGTCAAACGCTGTGGATTTGGATCAGTTGGCAAAACTCGGTTTGAAACAGTACAAATGCGAAAATGAGAGAAAGTGCTTCTCTGCTTCGGCAACTTGACCTTACACCCTGCCCCAGTACTCCCACCACACAGGAAGGTGGGGCCACTCGGGGTCTGCATTCAGTTTCTCAGCCTACGCCCAGTCCTTACCTTATCCTTAGGCCCATCAGGCACCACGCTCCAGTACAAGGCCACGCCCCCTAAAACACCTCAGTTCCCGCAAGCCCTGCCCCGACTCCCTCAGACTCCACCTCCAGGCTCTGGTTTAGGCCCTGTAATCGCTCAGTAGTTCCCACGCCGGGCGGTACAGTACCTGAAGGCCACTCCGCTTGTTCCAGGTGAAGATGGACCCTGGGTACCCGCTCAGAGCCAAGAGAAGTTCGTGGATCATTCCTACGGCGGACCTCGAGTCCCTAGATATGTCACCCTCTCCTCCAGAGCCTCTCCAGGCGAGCACGGAGGTGACTACTCGATGTGCGCACAGGCCCCTGGGAGTGACAGTTCGTCCTTATTCAACCCCGCCAAAACAACTGCATTTGGAAAGGATGGGAAGCGGGGAAGAGGTCGGCGCACCGCGTCCCGGAAGTGCGCCGGATACGGTTAATTTTAGTAGCTCGCTCCAGCCAGGGCTCAGAAGAAAACCGAGGCTTGGGAACTGTTTTTGCGCATGCGCTCTTTGTGCCCCGAGTCGCCTCTCCGGACTTCCGGTTTGGGAACTGAACTGGCAGGCTAGGGAGCTGGGGCAGGTGGGGCGCGACCCGGAGTCGGTGAGGCTGGTTCGGGGGCAAGGATGTGAGTGGGAAGAGGGACTGCGCAAGAGGGAGCCTCTCCCAGGGGTGTGCTAAAGGGTGTTCTCAGGGCGTCTTTGCCCGGTCGGAGGCCTCAGCTACGCTTTGCACTGCGACTCCGAGAGTGACCCGGCCGGAGGGAGAGAAGACAAAGAGGCCCGAACCCCGTACCCGCTGTTCCCTGAGCTGAGCTCCGTCCTGGCAAACCCCGCAGCGCTCGGAGCCTCTGGCCAGCACCCAAGCTCATCTGCAGGAGACCCATTACTGCTGTCCCCTCGAATTCCCTACCAACTCACTAATTGTCCCCCAAGCCCACCCCGGCCTCGCTTCAGGAATCGAAGCCAGCTTCTCCCGATGCGCTTGATTTCCCTTCAGTAGCTTTCTTGTCCTTGCTGAACGGTTACTTCTGCTTTGAGGGAAAGACAAGGAGCCGACATTTAGTAATTGATTTCTGTCTGGGGTGAGAATTAGTTGTGAAGCCGGAGGGGACGGGGCTAATGGAGAGGATCCCGGGAAGGACTGCGGAGGTTCTGGGGGAGATCCACGTGTGATCCACCGGACTGAGTTTTTGTTGTTGCTTTTAGCAGGATGGTGATTTGTCTTTAGGTCCTCTTGAACTGCAGGTCACCCATATGGTTTCAACTCACTTTGTAGCATTGGTCAGGGGCGCTCCTTGGGGTAGGATTTGGGGATGTGGGAGAGGAGCAGACACAATACTTTCTCTTTTCTGTTGCTTCCCGGGGTTTGCCCTGAAAGTCGCCCAGAAATGCAGCTTTCAAAAGGGCTCTCCTTCATGCTCAGTCTTGGTTTGCTGCCCTGAAGATGGTGCTACCTCAGATGGCTATTTGGAGCATCTGGGAAGCCAGACCAGCCCTGGCAAGACTTTTGACATATGAGTATATTCCTTCTGATAGTGCCATCTCTCTCTGCCCTAGGAAGACACTCTTCTTACAGATACACTCATCTCCAAGGACATGGGAAGCTATGTGTAAGTCCTGGAACCCAGCCCCTTAAGCAGAAGGAAGCTGCTTTCTGCTGTGAATGATGGCCAAACCCAGTCTCAGAGGGGATGGCCCTAGCTCTGAGACCTTCCGACAGCGCTTCCGGAGATTCCATTACCAGGAGGTGGCTGGGCCCCGGGAGGCTTTCAGTCAACTCTGGGAACTTTGCTGCCGGTGGCTAAGACCGGAGGTGCACACCAAGGAGCAAATTGTAGAGTTGTTGGTGCTAGAACAGTTCCTAACCGTCTTACCTGGGGAGATCCAGAATTGGATACAGGAACAATGTCCAGAAAGTGGAGAGGAGGCAGTGGCTCTGGTGGAAGATTTAGGAAGAGAGCCTGGAAGACCTGCAAGTTCGGTGAGAAAGGTGGGGAGCTCAGAAATGTGCAGTTGGAAAGGGGCAAGGGTGAAGGCCCAGATTAAGGTTTAAAGAGAAGCACAGTGTATCTTTATAATTCTGGCATAATGCATTATTCTTAACTTCTCAACCAGCAAGAAAGGGGAATTGTTTTTAGCCTGTAGTTGGGTTTACAGTTTTGATCACTTCCTTCTGTAGTTTCAGCTGCTCCAAACTAAGAGTAATGGAATTACTTGTTTGTTAAAACCCCGACCACTACAACTTCAAACGTATTCCAGAAGGAAGAGCTCTTTTGGGGTATTAATTAATCTCCTCTGGGAGTGCCCCCCATTATGACTTTGCAGTGACAATTAATGGGGGTTGTTTCTAGGTCACAGTCTCTGTGAAGGGGCAGGAAGTGCGCTTGGAGAAGATGACACCCCTGAAATCATCACGAGAGTTTTTAAGTGTTCGGCAGGAGTCAGTGGAACCCCAGCCCAGGGGTGTACCCAAGAAAGAGAGGGCAAGAAGCCCTGACCTGGGACCACAGGAGCAGATGAACCCAAAGGAGAAGCTCAGACCTTTTCAAAGGAGCGGTGAGGAGTAGATTCATGTGGGTAGACAGGTGTCATTCTAAAATGGGAACTAGGGTTGGGAATAGTGAGTTGGAAAGGGATTTCAGAAATTAGGAGAAAACAATGTGCAGTTGTTGGGACCCTCCGGAAGACAAGTAGTTTAGCTCTCCTGCCTACAGTAAGTATTTTTATATTTACACTTTTGATAGGTGCACTAGAGGATGGCATCGTACTTTTTATCAGAACTTGAACTTACTTTGTTTCCTCTTGGTAATGATAATAATAGATACATTTTTTGGATAAAAGTGCTTTCCTATACTTGATATGGCACATCATCCTTCTCTGAATGAAATTATTTTTAAAGCTTTTGCCCAGAAACTCTATTCTTCAGACTTAAGTTTTTATTGATGCTCTTTAAATGTTAATTGTGGAAAATGAAATTATATATATATATATTAATCCAGTGAGACCTGATAGGTAGAGAGCAAAGTAGGAGCTTTTATTTCATAATTTTGCTTCATTTTCTTTCAATGTAATCTGATTTATTATTACTTGATCATTTTTATTTACCTGTCAATTTCCAGGACTTTTACAGCTTTTCCTATTGCCTTTGTGCCTCCTTGCTTTTTCTTGAAGTTGATAAGTAGAACTTGTTTTTCTTCTTGAACTCTATTGAACTCGATTTTGTAAGGTTCCCCCCCCCCTTTGATCATATTTCTTTCACTTGTGGAGCTTGTTTTGAATTCTGATCTTATCATCCAAGATTTTAGCCTTCTGAGCCAGTTTCGAAATGGTAACTTTATTTAGTCATCCAGATCAAATCCCTGAAACACACACATAGACTTGCAGAATTGTTTCAGTGGGTGGTTTTTGAACACCTGCTGTGTTCACCATCTTGCAGGGTACTTGAGCTTATAGTGTGATTGTGAACACAATAGCCTATATGACGAACTGAACTGTGTGAGGGACCTTCAGATAGTTTATGGGAAAATTCTATTTTAATTGCATTTTCCCACAAACTTTTTGAAGTCCCCTCATATTGGAGCAATACCAGACAACGATTTGTGGCTCAATTGTGTGAGTGCAATAGGGGTTTGACAGTGAGAGAACAGGGAGGGTTGGTATAGGGTCTCAGAGACATTGATAAATATAACTTCATGAAGGATGAATGAAATTTGGATAGGAGACAAAGAGCTAAAGAAAAAGCACAAAGTAGTAAAAAAGTTAGCTGTGTTCTGCAGAGAACAGTCTGATATGAATGTAGAGTAAATGGGAGGCGTGAAAGTCTTTAAAAGTACCAGTGGAAGGCAGCGGGGATAGATTGGGTATGGTAAGGTTTATAGAGTTATTTATTGAAGGTTTTGAGCGAGAAGTGATAATGATGTGGTGACAATATATGAATGCTTTGTTTTATTGCACTTTGCTGTATTGTGCTTTGCAGATATTGCATTTTTTACAAACTGAAGGTATGTGGCAACCCTGCGTCAAGCAAGTCTATTTGTGCTGTTTTTCCAACAGGTTATTTTACTTTAAGGAGCTCTGGTAGCATAGTGGTTACGAATTGAGCTGTGAACTGCAAGGTCAGCAGTTCGAAACTACCAGCTGCTCCGCGGGAGAAAGATGAGGCTTTCTGCTCCAGTAAACATTAACAGCCTTGGAAACCCTATGCAGGGTCGCTATGAGTCGGAACCGACTCCACGACACATAACAACAACAACATATTTACTTTGGTCACATTTTGGTAATTTTCACAATATTTCATTATGCTGTTGCGCACTTAATAGACCATGTAGAGTATAAACAAAACTTTTATGTGCATTGGGAAACCAGAAAATCCATTGTGACTCACTTTATTCCAACATTGGCTTTATTGGAGTTGTCTAGAACCAAACCTGCACTGTCTCTGAGGTATGCCTGTACACTTTTCTGGCAGCAGGATAGCATGTGAACTGAGGAAAGTAAGAGCCTAGAGTAAGGTATATAACAGCAATGACTCCTGCAGTTATCTAGGTTTGAGGAGCTAAGTAGTTTGGATTTGTGTGATTGCAATAAGGAGGAACAACTAAGGGAAACCCCTTTAGAACTTGGTAATTGACTGAATGTCAAGAAACCGGATGCAATGAAGGCAGACACCCCTCCCTGTATTAAAATCACTGAGATGAATTTCTAGCCCCAAGTGAAGAACTATGGGAGATAGGAAATAGCTGTTTCCAGCAGTTTCTACTTACAGTGGTCAGGAAAGTTATGGAGCAACTTAGAATAGGATTATTTGTTCTGAGCACACAACAGAACCTTTTCCTCTCATCACCCTGCTCTGGAAAATAAAATCTTTCTCATATTTTGCAGTTTCCAGTATCTTCCTCCTCTTTCCTCAACCCATTGAACTTTCTGAAAACATTTCCCTAAACACTTTCCTAATAATCCTTTGGATACTTAAAAGCGGACTAAACTCAAGAGATTTTTAAAAAATAATCAGTTCAACTATTATATCCTTTGTTTGCTCCCTTGCAAGCAGGATTTCCATTTCCTAAATCTGGTGGTGTGGTCTCCAGGCTGGAGCAAGGAGACCCACAGATCCCAGATCTGCTGGGCTCCACGGAGAGGGGACTCCCAAGAGGCAGTCACACTGGAGACAGACGAATACCTGCTGATCTGTTACCATCCAGAAGAGAGAGAAGCAGCTGGGTAGAACAGGATCACTGGGGCTTTGAGGATGAGAAGGTGGCAGGTATTCACTGGGGCTATGAAGAGACCAGAACCCTCCTTGCAATTCTTAGTCAGACTGAGTTTTATGAGGCTCTCCGAAATTGTCATAGAAATAGCCAAGTGTATGGGGCAGTGGCTGAGCGGCTCCGGGAGTATGGTTTCTTCCGGACCCTGGAACAATGTCGGACCAAGTTCAAAGGTCTCCAGAAGACCTATCGGAAAGTCAAGAGTGGCCACCCACCTGAGACCTGCCCCTTTTTTGAAGAGATGGAAGCTCTCATGAGTGCCCAGGTCATTGCTCTGCCCAGTAGTGGCCTGGAAGAGGCAGCCTCTTGCTCTGGTCTGGTGGGCAGTGATGCTGAGACTGAGGAGCCAGGACAAGAGGACAGGCAACCTGATGGGGAAACAGAAGAGGCCATTGCTGAGAAGTCTGACAGCGATGAGATGGCCCCAGAGGCCACCCCCCAAGACTCTGATAATTCATCTGCACCAGTCCTATTCCGAAACCCAAGTGGTAAGAGGCTTTTCTTCTTGGTTTGGGGACTAGACTTAAGGGATGAGACTGGATGTAGATTTAGGAGACTTAATATCACCTGCCAGCTTTGCAACTTAAATAGGGAACAAAAAGGTACTTCTAAGTTCTGTGTATTACATTCTCCTTTATGGGGAAACACAATAGAAGGAAGGGAATACATAAGAGATTTTTGAAAGAAATACCCTCACAAAATTTAAGAGAGCCCTGAAAAGGAATGTTGTTCCTTTCTTAAAATTTTTTTTTAGATTACGAAATGATTGCAGGCTCATTGAGAAAAACTTGTCACTATACACCCACTCCTCACTGACAGGGTTAGCTTCCAAAGACCAGGGTGTTATGTGAAAATGGAGAAATTTATTTTTCCTGTTTTCAGACCATCATTTGTCTGATTTTTTTATTTATTTAGAAAATATGATCATAGAAATAGTAACAGATTTACTGATGTGCTCATCACTGTGACGAGTCCAGGTATGGATTACTCCTCTCAAGAGAAGGAAGCTTCAAGGAGACAAAGCTGGAAAATCTGAGCTGTGTGACTCGAGGCCCACAGCTTAACCACTTCACCTTCCTCCTGTGCGGGTCAGAGCATCCCTCTCAGAATTACCTTCAGGGCTCCATTCCCACCCTGCAAGCCCTGCGTTCAAGATCCCAGAACCTGCTGTGTCCTCTGGGCTTGGCGAGTCATCAAAGCTTGGGCTGTCTGTGAGAGTGGGGACTTCAGCGCAGTTTGGTTCATTTGGGGATGCCATGAACCTTGCACACATTTCTTCCACACACCCTCTCAAATGCCTCTTTCTTATCTCCCTTCCTTCCCCATAGCAGTTTTCAGCTGCAGTGCCTCAGACTGCATAGGGGCTGGGAATCCAGAGCAGGTGCCAGCTGTTTGGTGCCAGCTGCTTGCTCCTGCGTGTCCCCCTGGAGGCTCTGGACACACAGGAGGCCAGCCCTGCAGGGATGGCCCTAGCAGGAAGTAGCATAGGGTGCAGGGCAGTTTCTAGCTGCCTGGAAACCCTCCTTGAGGGAGGGGACACTACAGCCATTTTGCCATGCCCACCCCTTCATTAATGCACAAGAATTTTGTACTGTGGTCATAAAGCAAAATGTCAGGTAATGAGATAGTCAATAAATGAGGAGTTGTTAAGTGCTGTCGAGTCAATTCTAACCCATAGTGACTCTGTATAGGGTTTCCAAGGAACAGCTGGTGAGCCTGAACCACTGACCTTGCAGTTCATATGACTTGGCAGTCTGATGCGTTAGCCCACAGTGCCACATTTTTAAGGAGAGTTGGCATTTATTGAAGGCCTTATATAAACTTCCTGCTTTATTCTCTTATTTCTCCAAATGACGTGTTCATTTTTGCTTAAATAATATCATGCAGGATTACTCAAATTGTGTTCTAAGCAGCACTAGATCTTCAAGACTTTTCACACAAAAAGGGTTCCATGGCCAACTTTGAGAAATAGAAGTTTTGGCTATTTACAATAAACATGGGCGTTTAACAGCAGTTTGGAGTCCTGGTGTGGCATTGTGGGTTAATGCACTAGACTGCAAAGTCAGTTTGAACCGCAGCATTGGCGGTTCAAGCTTACCAGCCACTCTTAGGAAACACTATACAGGGTCACTCTGGGTCAGAACCTACTTGATGTCACAAGAAGGAGCCCTGGTTATGCTGTAAGATAAGCACTGGACTGTTAACTATAAGATCAGCAGTTCAAACTTACCGGCCTCTCCACAGGAGACAGATGAAGTTTTCTGCTCCTGTAAAGTTCTACAGTGTCGGAAACCCTGTAGAGTCACTATAAGTTGGAATCAACTGCATGGCAGTGGTTAAGAAGTCCCATGGTGAGAAAGCTCATTTAGCACTTTGCTTTGAATTACTGCATATGGAACCCTTTTTAAAGTGTCACTGAGCCCTGGTGTGGCACTGTAGGATAATCACTGGATTGCTAACCACAAGATCAGTGGTTCAAATCCACCAACCACTCCTTGGAAACCCTATACAGGGTTGCTATGAGTAGGACTGACTTAGTGGCACCTAACAGCAAAAAAAAAAATGTTGATGTAATTTGTTCAACCCAGGAGGCTTTTTTTTTTTTTAAACTTTTTACTGTGAATTGAGTGAAGGTCTACGGAGTAGATCATGAGTTTTCCAGTCAACAAATGATACTTGGTTTCATCTCAATGATTGCAGTCCCCTCAGTATATATAACTACAGTTACCCCACTTCTTCCCTGTGGTTCCTATTTCCATTCCACCCTCCTTCCCAACCCTTCTCAACTTTGTCCTTGAGTAAATGTTGCCCTTTTGATCTTGAAGGGTTCCATGGTGAAAAGATCTCACTAGTGTTGTTGTTACCCCCTATATACCTATCTACCACTTGGCTGAAAATTGGGCTATTATGGTAAGTTTTGTAACAGACCTGAAGAGTAGCTGAGGACCATAGTCTCAGTTTCTTCCAGTCTCTTTCTAACTAGTAAACCTAGTCTTTTTTTTATAATTTTGAGTTTTGTTCCACGGTTTCTCCATTCTATCTGGGACCTTCTAATGTGATTCCTTTCAGAGCAGTGGATAATGGTAGCCAGGCACCCTCTAGTTGTTTTGGTCTCAGAGTCATGGAGACTGATGTTCACATGTTCCATTAGTCCATTGGACTAATTGATTCTAAGCAGCTTCAATTTTAATCTTCTTTTAGTAGGTTTTTTAAAAAACGGCTTTTTAAAATATATATAATTCATATAAATACAGTTCACCCATTTAAAGTATATGAGGACACTGTAAAATATTCATGGAAAAAATCCATTATCTTTTAATTCCATTTTCCACAAACTTTTATAAGCCACCTCATATAATCCAGTGGTGTTTAGTATATTTACAAAGTTGTACAATCATCATAACAGTCAATTTTAGAATATTTTTATCATCTCAAAAAGAAACCCCTTGGTTCTAGCCAGGCTGTTTCCCTATTCTCTCGCATCCCTACCCACAAACTTTAATCAGCTGGTGTTGAATTGACTTTTACTAATGATGAGCTCGTGTGTGTCGGTAGGACTGTGCTCCGCACGGCTTTCTGTGACTGGCTTTTTGGAGGTAGACCACCAGGCCTTTTCTTCAAAGGCATCTGTGTGGACTCAAACTTCTAACCTTTCCATTAGCAGTGAAGTATGTTAACTGTACCACTCAGAAACTCCCTTTCCTAGCCCTGAGTAACCATTGTTGTTAAGTGCCATCGAGTTGGTTCCAACCCATAGCAACCATCTCTAGGGTTTCCAAGTAATCACTAATCTACTTAATATTTCTATAGATTTCCCTCTCCTGGCCTTTGCATGTGAATGCAGTCATATCCTATGTGTCCTTTTGTAACTTTTTTACTTAGCATAAGTGTTTTCAAGATTCATCAATGTTGTAGCATGTATCTTCATTTCTTTTTATGGTCAAATAATGCATTGTATAAAGAGCTCTGGTGGCATACTGTATAAGCACTAGACTGCTAAACACAAGGCTGGCAGTTCAAATTCACCAGCCATTCCCGGGAGTAAGATGAGGATTTCTGCCCCTGTAAAGATTTATAGCCTCGGGAACAATATACAGGGTCACTATGAGTCTGAATTAACTCTATGGCAATAGGGCAGCCTACGGATATACACTTTATTTATCCATTTATCCATTGACATCTGGGTTGTATCCAGAGTCAAGAGGTTTTGATTCTAATTTTGATTACTACAAACCAACTCAGTGACCTTGGACAGTTTTTTCTCAACTGTAAAATGGAGGTTAATCATAGGACTACAACTACAACTGCAAGGTTGGCTGTTCAAGCTCATTAGCCACTCCTTGGAAACCATACCACAGGTCAGTATGGGTTAGAACTGACTTTGCAGCACTTAATAACACATTGAAGTTGTAATTCCACATGAATAGTGATCTGTTTCTTCTATTTTTTATTTCATCTACTATGTTACTTTAGTTATGTGCTAGCTGTCTTGTATTTTGTCATCTTTCATTTTCATCACTGAAATAAATGTAGATAAGGCACTTACAAACATGGGGCATAGAAAGTAATCTATAATAAAGTGCTCAAAATACCCCTGCCCCAAACCCAACAGACATGCCCCATAAGGTTTTCAAGGCTGTAATCATAATGAAAACACACAGCCACATCTTTCTCCCACGGAGTGGCTGGTGGGTTTGAAGTGCTAACTTACCTTCAGTTACTACTTTAATGCTTAACCACTGAACAACCAGGGATCTTTCAATAAATGTTGGTTGTTTTTACACCCTTTCTTCACTTATCGACATGATTATGTTCCAAAGACCAGGTCTTTATGCAAAAATCAGTTTTATGTGAAAATGGAAGATAACCTGATCATTACATAACTGCCAAGCCACTGAGAATCGTGGCCCAGCCAAGCTGACACACAGCTATAACCATCACAGCCCATATCACTGTTGCCTCAGCATTCATTACTGCCAGGTGTACATAAGTGCACAACAGAGTTGGTTAGATGTTTTACTGTTGTCATAAATGAAAAATGCTATGTAACAAGATAATTGGGAAGGAGTAGATGTGTTATCATTGTTCTTTTTAAAACTTTGTCACTGCGCTTTTCTTTGTGTTCCAGTTCTTTCACATTGTCTTTTATTCTCCGTGAGAGAAAGATAATAAGAGAAGTCTAACTTCCAGCTGGCTTTCACTTGGGAGAAAGACTGTTGAAGCTCCTTTCCTTTGACCTTGTGTACCTTTAGGAAGCAGAGACTTCATCCCAAAAGCACTGCCTAAGAGTGGGGACCTGCTGCACAAGCATATGTCCAGTCTAGAGAGACTTGTACCCCTGCAGATAAGGGACATGACTATAAGTTCCCCTTTTCATACCCTACAGGTCCTTTGCCATTGCTTGGCTTGCTGTTTGAGATTATGTTAGGGATCAAGCAGCAATGTGATTCTGAAAGGCAGTTTCTTGGGAAACTGAAACCCTAGGAAGTAGAAAATGAATGGGAAGAGAAGTTAGGCTGACAGTGGTGGGTTGTGGTTCTTTTTTTCCCTGACCAGCTCTTATCTGTTAGGATTAGAACTCTAAACTACTGGAAGGATAGAAAAATGGATGGTGTGCATTTGCATCTGTGTATTTATTGATGGCTTCAGTGGAAAGCCTCTCAATATAGAAATGCAGGTCTTTGTAAAATTGCTGTAGATATAGGAAAGCAAAACATTCTACAATGAGTGTACATAACTTTTGGAAACACAATTTTATCTGTAAGTCCTAGCTTAGATCTCTTTTAATGTTGCAGATGGTAGGTCTGAGGAGTTGAGACTCTAAAGCTCTGGGTTAAGTAGTGCTAAAATTTCTCTTCTGGTGGCAGGTGTACACTGGGGCTATGAAGAGACCAAGACTTACCTTGCAATTCTTAGTGAGACTCAGTTTTATGAAGCGCTCCGAAACTGTCATCGTAACAGTCAACTGTATGGAGCAGTGGCTGAGCGATTATGGGAATATGGATTCCTTAGGACACCTGAGCAGTGTCGGACCAAGTTTAAAAGTCTACAAACCAGTTATCGGAAAGTGAAGAAAGGTCAAGCACCAGAGACCTGCCCATTCTTTGAGGAGATGGATGCTTTGGTGAGTACCCAGGTTGCTGTCCTGCCGAGTAAAGACCTGGAAGAGGAGACAGCTTCTTGCCCAATCCAAGGGACCAATGAGGCCGAAACTGAGAAGCAAGCTGAAGAGGCAGAAGAGACCTTAGAAGAAGATTCTGATGGCGATGAAGAGGATATGGAGATACCCCCAGGGGCTGTCCTAACACGTGCTCCAGTCTTATTCCAGAGCCCCAGTGGTAAGTTTTACTTAAGGTGTAAATAGCAAAGAAGAGACAATGGGATTTAGGAAAAAACGTCACATTGAGGACTAAGAGGACTAGTGTCTATATCCAGCTCTCACGGATTCTTCTTGCTATCACTTTCTTTCTTCCCTAACTTTTTCTATTAAATCAGTTCAGTGAGGGGATATAAAAGTATTTCACTATGGGTTCCTTGATTGTAGGGAGAATAATTCTAATTTTGGAGTTATGTGTATGTGAATCTGATATCTGTTAGTTTATCAGCTGAGTAACTTAGATCAAGTTACCTAACCTTTGTAAGTTTGCTTCTCTGCTAAGATCTATCTACCTTGTAGGGTTGATGTAAATGAGGAACTATGTGAAGTACTTATTTAGCACATTATTGTTGTAAGGTGCCATCAAGTTGGTTCCCATTCATAGCAACAGAAGGAAATGCTGCCTGGTCCTTAGTCATCCTCATGATTGTTGCTATGTTTGAGCCCATTGCTACAATCTCTGTGTCAGTCCATCTCGTTAAGGGTCTTCCTCTTTATTGCTGACCAAAACATTACTAATGGATGTCTGCAGCTGTTTCTTCTCGTTTTGAATTGTGCCACATTAGTAAATGAAGGTGCTGGGTTTCCAGGTAGAAATACTGCTTTAGGGAACATATCATTCTTTTGCTTAGATTTAATTCAAGAAATTTGGGATCCAGAGTTTATCAGAAGTATGTGAGTAACTGCAAATTCTCATAGGGATAAACCTAGAGGAACCTGTCAGTTGGTTCTGAGAATATTCTTCCTTTCTTTAAAAAGTTGCTTAGTAGAACACCTGGGCATTAAGGTAGTTGTTTTGGAACACTGAGTGATTATTTTTCCAAGGACAAAGAAACTTGTTTTAAAGAGACTCTTCCTAACAATATTTCTCTCTCAGAAGGCCTTTTGTTGTTTGGAAATCACTATTAGTCTATTCTGTTCTTATAGATTGGAATTTAAGGTAAAGTGACTCATAACAGCTCTTTCTAAACATGGAAGTTTCCCCAAAAAAATTCTCCCAGGCATTCCCTTCTAGTTTAGGATCCTGGCAAAGACCAGAAACTGGATAGTCTCCTGATAGGCCTGAGGTGAGGCAAAAAAGTATAGCATTAGAAATTAGCCTTCCTGTATAAATATGGTGATTGTCTTGTCCTAAATTCAGTGGGTTTTCCCTGCGCTACTGAGGATTTTCTGACGATCTGGGTATCCTGGAAGGGCTGTTGTTGTTAGTGCTGTCAAGTAGGTTTTGACTCAGAGTGACTGTAACTCTTTGCAGGAACAGAAAACTTTGTCTTTCTCCCACAGAGCAGTAGTGGGCTCGAACTGCCCACCTTGTAGTTTGTAGTCCAGTGCTTATCCTACAGCAGTTCCCCTCAACCCCCCAGAAGGGCTAGAGGCTATTAATCAGCCCTTATGTAGGAGGAGTCCTGGTATGGCGCTATGGTCTAATGCGTCAGACTGCAAAGTCGTTTGAACTGCAAGGTCGGTGGTTCAAGCTCACCAGCTGCTCCTTGGAAACCCTATACAGGGTCGCTATGGGTTGGAATCAACTCAGTGGCACTTAACAACAACAACATGTAGGAGTCCTGGTATGACGCTGTAGGATAGCACTGGACTAACCACAAGATCAGTGGTTCAAACCCAACAGCGTCTTTGACACCCTATACAGGGTTGCCATGAGTTGGAATTGACTCAACAGTACTTAACATCAACAATGTAGATGAGAGGGAGTCCCAGTGTGGCCCTGTAAGATAAGCACTGGACTGTTAGTCAAAAGATTGACAGTTCACATCCACCAGCACTTGTCAGAAACCCTATACAGGGTCTCTTTGAGTCGGAACCAATTTGATGGTACTTAACAAATAGCAATACAAATGAGAAGCAAGTGATAAGGCTACCAAGTAGACAAATAAAACATTGGAATTCTTTTTTTAAAAAGTGGAATTTTAATAGATGAGAATGATTTGGGATCCAGAGCGCCCTAATTTTTATATTGAATCCTCTAATTGCAATACTTGCTTTTCCCAGGTTTACTATGCCCTTCTACATACCACTGAGGAAATGAGTAACTTTTAATATTCTATTCTTGTATCAGGTTTCGAGGCTGGATTTGAGAATGAAAAGAATCTAAATCGGGATATTTCTGAGGAAGTACAACTGCACAGGACATTGCTTGCAAGATCTGAAAGGAAAATTCCTCGGCATCATTATCAGGGTAAAGGCAGTGCCAGTGAAAGTCGATCAGGAAGGCAGTGGGAAAAGACCCCAGAGGAGAGAAGGGAAAAACTCCCAGAGAGGAGCTTAGGGAAACTCCTAAATCACCAGAAACCTTATTTGGGGGAGAGACCCTATAAATATCTCAAATATAGCAAAAGCTTTGGTCCAAACTCCCACTTCATGCAGCAGATATCCCACCAGATGGAAAATCCTTATAAATGTGCTGACTGTGGGAAAAGTTTCAGTCGTAGTGCACGTCTTATTAGACACCGGAGGATCCACACTGGAGAGAAACCTTACAAATGTCTTGACTGTGGGAAAAGTTTCCGTGACAGTTCAAATTTCATTACTCATAGGAGAATTCACACAGGAGAAAAACCTTATCAGTGTGGTGAGTGTGGAAAATGTTTCAATCAGAGCTCAAGCCTTATAATTCACCAGCGAACTCACACAGGAGAAAAGCCCTATCAATGTGAAGAGTGTGGAAAAAGCTTCAATAACAGTTCTCATTTTAGTGCACATAGGAGGATACACACAGGAGAGAGACCCCATGTGTGTCCTGTCTGTGGAAAGAGTTTCAGTAAGAGTTCTGACTTACGTGCACATCACAGAACCCACACAGGAGAGAAACCCTATGGGTGTCATGATTGTGGCAAGTGCTTCAGTAAAAGCTCTGCCCTTAATAAGCACCGAGAAATCCATACACGAGAAAAGCTTTTGTCACAGTCAGCACCATAGTCAGCCCATGAGAATTAAAAAAGAGCCTCTATAAACATATTGTTTGTAAAGTCTTCCAATAGTGAGATCCATTCCTGTTCTGTGCCCAACTAGCTTAGGGAAATACTTTAGGACCAACACTGTTTTTTATCTTTCTACTGGATTTTGAGCCAATTTCTGATGCAATCATCTTAAAGAATGAAGGGAATTTCAGTTCCTCTCTGCCTGCTTCTAAATTCACAGATAACATCTTTTCCCTCTAAGTGCCTTTGCTGTTTCCTTGATAAATAAAGAAGATGTAGTAGTAGATCTCCTGAGTTTTATGTGAACCCTTCTATACTCATCCTGTTATTTAGCTGAATTTATGACTGGATAAACCCATCACAGAAGCATCTCAGGGCAAGGTTGTTTGAGTGAGTAGCTCTTCTTTAAATAATAATGGAAGTGCTAAAAAGAAAAGACTTTTCTTGCACATTGAAGCTTGTGCTCAGAATGACATATTTGTCACACATAGTAAGTTGTCCTAAAGAAGGAGAGTTAAATACCCATCTTGATTCTGCTCTTTGAAACATCTTGTCAAGAACCTAGGTGTTACATGTGGTGATAAAACTGGTATAAATATTGAGGTGTAAACCCCAATTTCTTAGTTTATAGAATCTGGTTTGATTTTCTTTCTGTACCATCACAATATAATTTTGTCTGTCTCTTGTGGTTCAGAAGCCAGCTGGGTGTGACAGAGAAAGCAGTTAAAGTTGCCAATAGTGAATCTTCCATATCCCACATACTCCAAACACCTAGTATAGTGTTATGCATCCTGTGGGTGCTCACTACTAACCTGCAATGAGCAAAAGTCACTACCGCATACTTGTGTACTGGGAAAACACACCACTTAGTACCAACAATCTTTATACCTTAATGTCAAGGAAGATATCTTTAGTCAGTGGATTTGCCAATCTGGCTGAAACACACACACATACTCAACTGACTATGTTTATTTTTATAAGCAGCTCTTCAAATACAAGTGTAATTACTGCTCTTAATGAAATAGTATTAAATTGCTTGAATGTTTATAGTAGTATGACAAGCACTGTAAATATGCACAAGCTAAACAGACTCTGCCCTTCTTACAACCTAAAGCAGATGACACTGACAGTGATAAGTAAGCACATATATATAGTTACAACTGTTAGAGAAATCCAGAAAGTTAGTCAGTAACACCGTAAATATTGAGGTCCAATGCACTTGAGTTTGTTATTAGAAAAATCTGAGTGATCATTGTCTTTATTCAGGAAAGCTCCATGAAGCAGGATGTATTCAAGAGGGAAAGTTCCTGGGTAACTTAGGGTAGGATGAACTTTCCAAAATTAATTGCAAAATTGAGTGCTGACTGGGTAAGGAATGGGGAAATTTGAGAGCAAGGTGTTTTGTGTAGATGGTATAGAAGACAAAGTATAGACTGACAGTAGATAAAGCTTGTTAAGTGCCGTTGAGTCAGCTGTGACTCAGCAACCTTGTATAGGGTTTCTGAGGAGTGGCTGGTGGGTTTGAACTACTACTGACCTTGCAACTGGTGGTCCAGTGCTTATCCTATCCTACAGCAGCACACTAGGATTCCAGACATGCTTGGGATAGCACAAAACTTTAGTATGATGTTGGCTGTGCAGTAGGCAGAAAGAACCACTTTATCTGAAACATGGAGTGCCAGAGGTAGACCAGGAGGCGGTATGACATGACCAGGAACTGTGCTATATTTATTGATAAGGAAATAGCCAGCTAGCACTGGAAAGGAAGGACAAGCAGTCTTAGCTCATATGGGAGACAAACTACATCTTTTGGAGAAGGATAGGGCAGAGGGAGATGAATATGGCTAGATATCCACTTGGGATATGGAGCTGTTAAACATTTCATATTAAATTAGAATTTTATGGCTGGTATAGACCTGGGAGAGGAGTGAAGGAGATTAGATATTCTGTCATCAATATTTTACTGTATTAGATGAGAGATCAATTAGGGTTCTGGTGTTGGAGGGATTCTATCCTACTACAGAGACTCTCCTAACATTCATTAGGACTGAAGGGAAGATGGTACCTCAATTATGTTGCTTAAGTAGACAGGATGGTACAAGAAACACCATCCAAGATAATTTTGAAAGTGTGCTGTAATGTCAAAAAGATTTAGTGTATCTATGAATACAGTCTTGTAGGAAAAGCATTAAATAGGGTATCAACAGACATGAATGTTTCAGATGTCTTATATGTTAAGTCAACTTGTCTCAGCCATTTCCCTTCCTATAAAGTTAGAATATTGTTTACACCTTAATCTGCCTCTCAGGGATACCATGTTAATAAAAAATTATGTTTCCAAAGTGCTTGGTGTTACTTCAGATTTTTAAAATACATATGCAAATTGTTATGCTTGAGTTGATGATCTGTTGTTAAGTGCCATCGAGTTGGTTCTGACCCATAGCAACCTTGTATAGGGTTCCTGAGGAACAGCTGGTAGCTTGACCCACCGACCTTGCAGTTCAAACGGCTTTGCAGTCTGGCACATTAACCCACAGCACCACACCAGGACTCCCAAATTGATGATTGTTGTTGTTATGTGCCGTGGAGTCAGTTCCGACTCATAGCGACCCTACTCAGGGTTTCCAAGGCTGTAAATCTTTACAGGAGCAGACCGTCTCATCTTTCTCCCACGGAACCGCTGGTAGTTTCGAACTGCTGACCTTGTGGCTCGCAACCCGATTCATAACCCCTACGCTACCAGAGCTCCTAAATTGATGATAGGAAAAGGTAAATCTTTACATGCTGCCTTTGGCTTCCTGTGTGGGATAGCTGGAAATATGAATCGTCATGTTCTAGGCATGAACAGCACAAGAAAAATGAGAACAAAAATCCCACCTTGATATCTGTATTTCCACAATCCACTAAGACCTGCAATTACTAGGCATGGAGAATGAGCCTCATTAAAAAAAAAGGCCAAGACCATTTCTTTAACTTCCAGACTAAGAAAACATGCAAAAGGAATAAGGCAAAGGCAAATTTTTACCAGAAGACCTAGTTGATCTCAACCTAATGCACAGACCTTTCTCTGCAGTCGAATCTGCTCTTTCTAAAGGTGCAAGAAAACAAGAAATACTGTCTTCAAGCATTCTTTCTATGAGAACCAAGTCCACTATGCTTAAAGTTACTGTTGTGTGCCATCAAATCAATTCTGACTTAGTGACCCTATGTTGTTGTTATGTACTGTCATGTTGTTTCCAACTCAGCAACCCTGTATAGGGTTTCTGAGGAGCCACTGGTGAGCTAGAACTGCCAACTTTGTGGTTCAAAGCGACTTTGCAGTCCAGTGCATTAACCCACAGTGCCACACCAGGGCTCCTAGTGACTATAGGACAAGTAAAACTGCCCCATATTGTTTCCTAGACTGTAATCTACTGGAGAAGACTGCCAGGTGTTTACTTATGCAGAGCTTCTGGAAGGTTCAAACTACTGACCTGGTTAGCAACCAAGTGCTTAAGCATTGAGCAAGCAGGGCTTAAAGTGACATGCTAAATACAGGTGTTAAATATATACAAGTATGAGGGAAAGTCAAATATTGCTACTAGAGTTCCAATTCAGACATAACATGGGTTTATTCCTAATAAAATGTGTTTAAAGATGTCTTTGCAGTGAGTAGATGGCTATAAGCAACTTCTATCCGTAATAAACTTGTCTTAGTCTCATTATGGAATCTTGGTATGGTGCTATAGAATAAGCACTGAACTACAAGGTCAGCTTGAATTACAAGGTCGGCAGTTCAAACTCACCAGCAGCTCCTCAGAAACCCTACACAGGGTCACTATGAGTCAGAACCCACTCAACAGCACTTAACAAGTGCCTCATTGCTGTTGGTGAGCTCCAACCTTGTCATTCAAATCAACTTTGCAGTCCAACGCCTTAACCCACAGCACCACAAGTCTTGTTAAAGTGCCTTAAAAAGGGCTCATCAAAACAGTGGCTTCAAGCCTAGCATGGAGCGGCTAGAACAGAGGATACTTCTTCAAGACTAAGACTCAGGGGGGATATAGGAGCAGACATGCGGTCTGTGACCACATTGGTCACCAATACAGGGAAGTGAGCAATGAAGTGGTGAGCTAAGTCCTACCACGTTCAATAGACTCCTGTGAACCAGGGTGGAGACCTGGTTGGCCAGCAGTATGGCAAGACCTGGGGACTATTGGGCCCAGAGACAGTGACATTGCCGCAGAGGTCTAGAGTGGAGAGAGAAGTGTCCAGATGATAAGAAGAGAGGGCATATGCACAAGAACACCCACACTTGCAGACAATACCCACTTGACCTGGCTCCAATGGCTGGATGATCAAAACTTGACAAGAAAAGGAAAAAAAGAGTAATCTGATGAACGTGACCTATACCTATGGATGCAGTAGCTCAAAAGAGGGAACAAATCTTAACAGCAAGGATCATTCCCACCCCCTTGATACACAGGGTAGACAAGGATGGGCAACTTGGACATTAGCTACCCAAAGTGGGAGGGCTACAAAGGCAAGAAGTGACAGGCTT